GAATCCTCCAATTGCAGCTGCAGCCAATGCAGTCAAAAACTCCAACTTGGCTCCCCCCAATTCTCTGTTCTTTCCATCTCTTGGGGCCTGGCCCAGGGAGGTGTCCTTGACTTTGGGGCTGCAGAGGAATTGTTTTGTGTAAAAATGGGAGAGGAGGTGCTGGGAACTGTCTGTGGAGTCTGGAGTTAAACACTGGAGAATTCCAGGATCACACAGAAATAGAGAAATTAAAATCCTGAGGCATCATGGCCTGTGGTGAGTTTGAGTTTTTGGATGTTCAGAGGGGAAGGAACTCAGGAATTCGTTATTTTCTCATCCTGATCCTCCCACTTGGGTTTTTTTCCCCTTTTTTTTGCTGCTGGCTCCCCCAGTGACCCCGTGCTGTCCCCCCAGGTGACCGGCAAGATGGACGAGAATCAGTTTGTGGCCGTGACCAGCACGAACGCGGCCAAAATCTTCAACCTGTACCCGCGGAAGGGCCGCATCGCCGTGGGCTCCGACGCCGACCTGGTCATCTGGGACCCCGACAGCGTCAAGACAATCTCTGCCAAGACCCACAACATTGTAAGGGGGTTGTGTTCCCGTGTTCCCTGCTGTTTCCTGCTCCCTTTTCCCACATTTCTGCTCCTTGGGGTCAGCAGCAGGCGTTTTGGGGTTATTTTGGGGTTGTTTTGGGGTTGTTTTGGGTTGGTTTTCCCTATGCATGAAGCTCTGGAGATCGGCTGGGTGAGCAGGACGAGGCTCAATGTGAAATCATGTGGATTCACACGCACAGAATCAGAGAACTGGAAAGTCACAGAATCCCAGAATCAGAGAATGACAGAATGACAGATTCACAGAATCAGAGAATCAGAGAATGACAGATTCACAGAATCACAGAATCAGAGAGTCAGAGAATCTCAGAATCACACAAAGAATCAATCCCAGAATCCCAGAGTCACAAAATCCCAGAATCAGAGAATGACAAAATCACAGAATCAAAATCACAGAATCACACACACAATCACTGAATCCCAGAGTCAAAGAATCCCAGAATCCCACAATCCAAGAGTCCCAGAATCACAGAAACGGAGAATCACACACAGAATTACAATGTCAAAGAATCCAAGAATCGCAGAATCAGAGAATCTCAGAATCGCACACAGAATCATATACAGAATCCCAGGGTCACAGAATCCCAGAATCAGAGAATGACAGAATGACAGAATCACAGAACGATAAAATCCCAGAATTCCAGAATCAGAGAATCAGAGTCACCGAATCATACACAGAATCTCTCTGCTGGAAATCTGACCCAGATCTGGGGTGGATTTCTGGGAAATGTAGGTGGATTTCAGATTTCTATGGGGTGGATTTCAGGGAGATCTGGGTGGATTTCAAATCTCTGCTGGAAACCAGACCCTGATCGGGGTTGGATTTCTTGGAAATCGGGGTGGATTTTGGATCTCTGCTCTTGGGTGGATTTCTGGGAAATCTGGGTGGATTTCAGATTTCTGCTGGAGATCTGACCCTCATCCAGGATCTGGTTGGATTTCTTGGAAATCTCGGTGGATTTCTGGGAAATCTGCGTGAATTCCCCATCTCTGCTGGAGATCTGACCCGGATCCAGGGGCTGGGTGGATTTCTGGGAGATCTGGGTGGATTTCAAATCTCTGCTGGAAACCAGACCCTGATCCAGGTTGGATTTCAGGGAAATCTGGGTGAATTGCCTATCTCTGCTGGAGATCTGACCCCCACCAGGATCTGGGTGGGTTTCTGGGAAATCTGCGTGAATTTCGCACCTCTACTGAGTGGATTTTTGGGAAATTTGGGAAATTTCTCACAAATCTGGGTGAATTCCTGACAAATCTGGGCGAATTCCCCATCTCTGCTGGAGCTCTGACCCTGATCCAGGGTGAATTCCTGACAAATCTGGGTGAATTTCAGGAAAATCTGGGCAAATTCCCCATCTCTGCCGGAGCTCTGACCCCATCCAGGATCTGGGTGGGTTTACAGCCCCTCCTGATGCTCCCCACATTCCTGGGGT